AGGGCTTAGCTCACCGCTTCATTGCTGTTTTTCCCTCACTTCCCCTTATCAGTGTCGAGCGTGGTCACTAATCACAGCGTGTATTCCCACTGAGTCTTAGTCTTGGAAGGGGGTTTGCACTGAGTGGACCCGACCACTTGCCTTGATGTTTCCTGGGTCTAGGTTCCTTCTTGAAAGCTTGTAAGCCAGTCACTTCTTGCCCGTGTTCCCCCTTCTTAATAGCAATTTTTCTTGGCACAGACTTTTCATGATACATCATTGTTGTTAAGTGCCATGAGTCAGTTCCAACTCACAGCGACCTTGTATAGGGTTTCCGAGGATCGGTTGGTGGGTTTGAACCGCCAACCTTGTTCAATGCTGATCCTTGATCACACCAGAACTCCATTCATAAAGTCAGACCTAAAACTAATGGGAAAGGTAGTATTCCATCCGAATCCACAACTAATGCTGTGTGTTTGCAGGTTGTTCATTCACTTACAGTGGTGAGGCAATCTCTGAGAGTGACATAAAACTGGCAGAGTGTCAGAGAACAGAGAGGGGCATCCTTGTTCACTACACCACATAGTAGGCAGGATGGAGAAAAGAGAGCAGAATGCTAGTCCTTGTAAGTCTGCATACTTGTCAGTTAAGCACCAGCCCCCCGTGCATGCTGACTGAATGATATCTGACAGACCACACATACAGCAGTAGTTGGATTTCCAAGCTGAAGAGGGATCACTAAAATGTAGGCCAAACAAACTAGGATTTCAGAATCAGGTTGGAAACAGGAGCTAAAATCACCAAGTGAGTAGTGAATAGACTTGCATAGGCTGAGAAAATTCATCTATATATAAAATGTGAAAGATTTTCCTGAGCAGCACATCTAGGAGAAAGATCTATCTCACTGTGTCTCAAGAGCAGGACAAGGCTACTTAAAAGACAAGCATAACCTCTAGCTATAATGAAAAAAGAAACAGATCTTTGAAAAATGGACATGGTCCTGAAATTAAGGTCCTTAGATACCCTTCAAATCTCAACATGAACACAGCCCCAGGGATCATCCTTCAGCCAAATAGTAGACAGACCTATAAAGTGAACAATAATACCCATGAGAAATGTAACCCTCAGAATCAACATATGAGGCCAAAAGAGTAGCATTTGCCCAAAAACATAGCTCAGAAGGCAAAAAGGGACAGGAAAGAAGGACAAATGGAAATAGGAACCCTGGGAGGAAGGTATAACCAAAATCCTCATGGAATATGTCCTTGGTTGGAGGTTTAAAGTCATGGTTTTATAGAATGTCTCAGTTAATTGGTCTAATAATACATTTAGCACTTCTATTCTACCTCCTAAGGAGCCCTGGTGGCACTGTGAATGAGGCATTGGGGTGCTAACCAGAAGGTCAGCAGTTCAAACCCACCAACCACTCCTCCAGAGAAAGATAAGGTTGTCTGCTCCTGCAAAGATTTACAGTCTCGGAAAAGGGGCTGTGTGCTGACGACTGGGGGGCAGGCTTGCAGGGTATACCCTTTGGTTGTTTGATGATGCATGGAGGGGATTGTAATAATGGCAATGAAATGATATACAATAGGGTGAATGTAAAACTAATGTTCTCCCATGTAAACTATCACATAATTAACAATAAAACATTTAAAAATATTTTAAAAAAAGACAATTGAAGTTTTCCACCAACTTTTTAAAGCCCCCTTTGTGTCTGCTACATAAATCCACATATATATAACAAACCACAAAGAGGACACAGTTACAAAGGTTTCCTCATACCTAAACAACTCACGATATTGGTTTACTGGGTCAAAGAGCTTGAGACTATAGTTTCAGGAGACAACTCAGCCAACCAGCATAACATAAAGGCAATATCTATAACTTAGTTGGGGGAGTAACATCTAAGGGCTTAGAATTTGTGGGTGGCCATCAAAGATACAAGTACTAGTCTCTACTGCTCTGCTGCATGCCATCAAGTCAGTTCCGACTCATAGCAACCCTGGATAGCGCATCCGAGGCTGTAACTCTTTACAGAAGCAGAAAGTCTCATCTTTCTCCTGGGGAGCGGTTACTGCATTCAAATTGCTGACTTTGTGGCTAGCATCCCAATGCATGGCTCACAATGTTACCAGGGCTCATTTTGGTGTCTACTAATATAGAGCTAAAGACAATGAAGGAAATAAAAAAACAAAAAAAGATTTACAGTCTCATAAAAACCTATATTGTTCCAGAAACCCTATACTGGACCGTGTAAGTCAGAATGGGGGTGGGGCGGGGATCTACCTTCTGGTTCACTGTGTATTGCCTAGGGTCTTAAAAGCTTGCAAGCTGCCATCCAAGCCATGACAACTGGTCTCTATTCGCCTGGAGCAACAGAGAAGAAGCAGAGTCAGGAATAGGAGGAGGATAAGCAATGTGTGGCTAATTGCCTCCACAAGACTCGGTGGTACCCAGCTACCACTATTGAACATTTTGAAAAATGATTATGTAGAAGAATCCTGATCAAAGGGGACATTATGGATTGAATTGTGTCCCCCCAAAATACGTGGACTGCGAACCACAAAGTCAGTGGTTCAAACCCACCAGTGGCTCCTCAGAAACACTGCACAGGGTCACT